CAGCCACCTATCCAACTCGGGCCCATTTCTCAGTCTGTATCCCAAACAATGTTTTAAAAATCCAGTCTAACCTATTCACTTTCTTACTTCTTAGTCATTTCGTTAATTGCTCTTAGAATAGAGTTTTACTTTGTCTAACATGGTTTACAGAGCCCCCCAAATCCTGACTTCTGCCTGTCTCATCTCTCACCACCGCCACCTTGTTCTCCCTGACCCCGTGCTTGAGCCAGGCTGGAATTATTTCACTTCCTAGAACATGACTCGGGCTGTTTTGGCCTCCAAGCCTGCTGTTTTCTCTGCAACTCTCGTTACCTGGCTCAGAGTCACAGTTCAGCTCAGAGTTCTCTTTCTCCTGGGCCTGGGTTTGGAGCCTTGATTTGCACTCGTGGAGCGCTTATGTGCCTGCCTTTTTCGTAGCACTTGTCACACCTTGGGACTGATGTGTCTGAAATAGTTTCCCTGCTGCACTGGACACTCCATGAGGGCAGGTGATATGCTTTACTCATTGCTCTGTCCCTGCATCTAACAGTGGTTCTCAACCTTCTGGCCCTTTAAATGCAGTTCCTCATGTTGTGACCCAACCATAAAATTATTTTCGTTGCTACTTTGTAACTGTAATGTTGCTACTATTATGAATCGTAATGTAAATATCTGATATGCAGGATGGTCTTAGGCGACCCCTGTGAAAGGTTCATTCGACCGCCAAAAGGGTCGCGACCCACAGGTTGAGAACCGCTGAAGAAGAATGCCTGACATATAGTAGCCACCCATAAATATTTGTTGAATAGAATGAAAAGTGAACAAACGAAGTAGGAGGCAATCCAGTGTATCAAACACTCTATGGGCGTGGAGATTATGAAAAGGAAGATGCAAATGGCATGAAGAATTCAACTATTAAGAGCTCAGAGATCCTTGAGGTTTATCTTTCAGCAGCTTATTGTTGAATTCGGTAACATAGTGGACACAAAAGCCAGAGAGTTGGAGACTTAGGAATAAATGTTATTTAAGGAAGTGAATACAGCACGTAACAGAAGTGTGAGTATAAGGGGAGCCAAGATAATGGTAACACTAGGAAGGAGTGATGGCCTAAAGGAGTCTGTCATTTGCTTGTCTTTTTTCTTAACTTAGTACTGGAAAGACTTGGGCATTCTCACCAGTTTATCTACTGCTTTGTCCTGCTTTTCTTATATATCACAGGGGAAAGTTCTATAAATATTTCCTACTGCAAAGTGAAATGAAACACATTTTAAAAGCCTGATTTATTTAATATTTTTTCAATTTTGGAAGAATTAAAATTTTTTAGATTTTCAGTCTGCCTGAAAAGTAAGCTGTGTTCTTGACATCTGTTTATGAACATGGTTGCTATAGTTTGTACTGGAGTATGCGAACTTTATCCTTACTAAGGCCATTTGTTTTAGTTTTCAGTTCCTTTCAGCACATTTTCAGTTCCTTTCAGCTACTCTTAAAAATCTGGACTTTGGAATTTCATCTTAAAACACTTATATCTCTTTTTTTAATTGATTTTAGAGAGAGAAAGAAAGGAAGAGAGTGAGAAAAAGATTGATTTGTTGTTACATTTACTTATGCATTAATTGGTTGATTCTTGTATGTGCCCTGTCCACTAACCAACTTAACTACCCAGCCAGGGCCTCTTACTAGTATATATCTTTAACCACAGATTTTTGCATGACTAGGTGCTAGTTCTGACATTGATCATTGGATATATGGAGATTTAGTTCTTAGGTTACACACACACACACACACACACACACACACACACACACACCATTTCTAATTTAAGATCTGCTCTTATAAAAAAGGCTTTGTGTATCAGAGAGTACCTGTGGGGTGTTTTCTTCGGGTCATTTTACTTGTAGAAAAAAAAAGATTTTTGTGCTTAATTAGTTCTGAGAGTTGAAATGATGAAGAGCACCCTTACCTGAACAGTAAGGCATCTTGATTATTAATATGCAGCCAAGAGCTGGACCATTATTCTCACCACAGTAGTTAATCACTTACTAGTAAGGAGGAGAGAGCATTCGGTATATTTGGAGGCTGTTTAATCATCAACTTTGGGAATGGCAAATATTTCTCTGAATTTCTGAGAACATACAGGGCCACTGTTTGCCAAGCCTTTGCCACCAAATTTATTACTATAATTAATGTGTTTTCTCCTTAACAGGTTGTTCTCATTTTTATCATAAGCTATGTGTTAAGTTGCAAGTGACCACGTCATTTGTGAAGTTACCACTAGTGTTACATGTAAAAAACATCACTGGTTGGGTTGAGGAACCTGTTCTGTCTTCCTGGCAGGCAAACATAAGACAAACATAGGTTTCCAAGGTATTAGCACTGTGTGCATCTGTTTCATAGTGTAATTTCATCAGTTGAACAGATGAAGAATGCTAATTAGTTTGTTTATACATTTGTGATTTAATGAGACTAAACACTTAACTGATCTTGAAGTAGGTACAACTTGTTTCCTGTTGCTGTTTTTAGTTTAATTAAAAACAGTGTTAGGCACAGTTTTCTGGAAGTTATAGAACTGTGTAATAGGGGAAAATCTCAAGGAAGGATGGGTAGTCAGTTTTATCCTGCCACAGTGAGGCTGCATAGGAAGATGAGAATTAAAATACTGAGTTTCAGGACAAGAGTTGAAATCCATTGTTAACGAGAAGATTATGCTGATGAAAAACTTTATCATAAATGACATTATAGCAAACTCCTAAATCCAGTATTTAAGTTCTAATGTGCCCCAGAATAACTTATTTTAGGAAGTAGTTCTATGCCTTCATTACATTCGACCTATAATCAGAATTCTATTTTTTATCATTTTTGCTTTTATTTGAATACCCTCAAAAAATTGATTCTTCCTCTAACATTTTCTTCTTGTAATTGTTGTAGTTACATCAAAATATAACTGAAATCATGGCATTCAGTTACTATAGTTCTTCTTCCTGAAAACTAATACAAAATAATGGTGTTATGCTTATTATAAATCAATAATTATTTAATACCATCTACTATAATCTCTTTTATTACTTTCACATTGTGCAAAACTGGATCTGCAGAGGCTGTTATATTTTGGGAGATGAGGAAGTAACTTGTCCTATAGTCAAAATTATATTTGGATTAAAATGCTTCAGTTAACTTGCTCAGCTTTTCACAACCAGGGGTCAGAAAACTACAGCCTGTGTAGCAAATCTACAGCCTGTTTTTGCAAATGAAGTTTTATTGAAGGACATCAATATTGATTCCTTTTTTATAGCAGCTATGGCCTTCATACAAAAATGACAGAACTGGGTCAGTGATAGAGACCTACTTTCTGGCCCTTTACAGAAAGGCCTGCTGACCACAGATCTAAACCCTACATGAGGTCAGGAATTGGTAAATAGTAGTAGAGTTATGCTGATATACATTAGCCTGAGAAACAAATATTTGTGGAACTGAGTCTTCCAATGAATGCAGTTGAGAGCTTTAAGTTTTTAGGTCTTTCAGAATCCAAGTAACCATTGCACCTATGGCCAAATTGCCTTTGAGACACTCAGTAGCCTGCTGAGATAGCTCCTATTCTATTCTGGCAGAATATGTTTTCTGCTCCTGAATATATAGGGTCTTCCTTGTACCTTCTTAAAGATTCATAAATTACATGTGAACACAGATTTGGGGTATGACTGTAAATAAAAGAGAATACTGGCAGCTTCTTTTGGCCTGTCAGCATCCATCATCTTCACCTACTCAATATCCATTCGACCCCAAAGGTTGTCAGATGGTAATTTAGGTTTCCTATTTGTTTCAGTTCAGAAAAGGAATTGTCCATTGCTCTAAACTTATTAGATAACTTACCTGTGACAAATTGAAAGCTATTGCTGATGCATATTAAGAATATATTAAGAGCATTTAGTTGCATAGGAAATAAAAGAAAAGAAGTGAGCTCTAGTTCTAAAGACGGAAGTATAAGGCTCTATCCTGGATAATTCAAATACCACCAGCCAATGAACAGAAGAATTATGTTCTTGTTGGCTCTTTAATATAAACTTCTAAGCCACCTTTAAGATAAACTAATCCTAGTTTCTAAATTAAGCCTTATTATTTAGAAACCAGTATCATTTGTGCTTGAGTTAGTAGAAAATGCATTGGCTCTGGAGTGAGATGGACTTACCTTTGAAGTTGAGCTCCATCACTTTCTAGCATTTCAAACTAAAGTAAATGACCTAAACTTTCAAGCATCTGGCTCGTTGGGAATAAGAATGTTTGTGCCATATGGTTGCTATGAGGATCAAACGACTCCCGTGAGACTTAAATGTAAGTACAGAGTTCCCAGGCATATAGAAGGGGGTGAATAAACGTAGGTTCTTTTCCACTCTTTTTTTTTGTGTTTTTTATTTTCCAAGAATGATGAACCCAGTTAATCAAGATCATTAGAATTGTTGATAAGCTGAACTTATAACCAGACAGTGTTTCAGTTCTGAAAACATATATTCAATGTTTTAGATCTGTAAAAAATGTACTTAGGCATCAAATATATATATTTGGGTATGTTTGAGAGACATTAGTTTATGCTATTCTGATTTATCAGAAGTGATAGCATAGTGAGAATGTAGTAGTATGAGCACTAATAAAACTACATTTAGATTTGGCTTCTGTCTTAAAACCATATTGTTCCACCAATGCGGAATCAAACTAGCCCAAAAGGTTATAAAAATGGACACCAGTAGTTTGTCTTAATGAGGACATTTTGGAGAAAATTATGTTCCATTTGAAAAATATTAAAATATTAAAAGCAAGTATTTTACTAGTATACCAAAATGCACATATATTATAGATCTTTACCAAATGTTCCATCCATTTTATAATTGACATTCCCACCAGATTTTTTTTTTTTTACTTGAAAAATGCAATATGACTATGTGGTCTTTGCTTGTTCACACCTGTCTTTTTCTGTTTTCGTAAGTGCACTAAGTCACTCGCTCTCGGTTCTGACTTTCTACTGCCTGTAGACACTCCCATCACCAGTATCCTTGATCTGATCGTGGCTTCCATTAGTCAGTCCCACATAAGAGGAGCAGCTCACCAGGACGAGATCCACAGCAGGCTGAGGCCACTGACACCATGTTCTGTACGAAGCTGAAGGATCTCAAGATCACAGGGGAGTGTCCTTTCTCCTTACTGGCACCAGGGCAGGCTCCGAAAGAGCCAGCAGAGGAGGTGGCGGGAAACGCAGAGAGCTGCCTAGCCACCCTGCCCATCTGTCAGGACGCCCCTGAGAAGAATGTGCAAGGAAGTCTCCCTCAAAGAAAGACAAGTCGGAGCCGAGTCTACCTTCACACTTTGGCAGAGAGCATTTGCAAGCTGATTTTCCCCGAGGTGAGTGCTTGCCCTGTTCAGGATGTTACTGATATTTTGAAAATTGTAAAATAATGGTTTTCTAAGGAAAATGTAAACACTTGCTTTCTCACTCTCAAGTCTCTGATAGATGTTTCCTGGAAACACAGAAAAGCATTCCTTTAAAGCAATCATCGTCTTAAATTGTGTTTCTCTTAAAATGTTTAACATCTTGAATTGTTTTCAAAAAGATCCTGACTCTGACAAGCTTTTGAGCAACTGCTTAGCCCCTTAGCATCAGCTTTCTTATCTGTAAAATGGAAACAGTAACGGTCTCTCTGTTTGAGAGTTTTAATGAACATGAAGTGAAGTGATCCATACCTCTTCCCATACCATAAATGACCTGTAGTTGTCAACTATTATTTTAAAATCAAGTTCCTTGAAGAATAACTTCTTTTCTGCCATGTTTTCTTCTTCTAAATCCCAAGAGTAAGATATATCCCCTGATAATTTGTTGAAGTGGGGAAATCTCCCTTTTCCTGCTGTGTCTGAGTCTGAAATCTCTGCTCAGGCCAGGCTTGACCTGGTCCTTTGTGTCAGAGTTGTTAGTTCAGACACTTCTTGAAATAGCTCTGTGAGCTGCATAGCCTAATATCATTTTGAGATATGGAGCATCTTCTGTTAATCTACCTGTGACAGAACACTGGGAATAGAGCATATACCTTATTAGGTAAAATATTTTAGGAATAGAAGAGGCATGTAGAGAGCTCCTCTCCCCCTGCAGGGCTAAAGAGAACAGCTGAAAGTCTCCATGATATCTTCTTCCCTCTATCTGTGTTCAGTTTTATAGACACTCACATAACCTATGAGATTGGAATTAGACTCCAGCTATCATAATCCACTGGTAATTTTTAATTGACTCAACACCAAAGCATTGAAAAACCACATCCCTAAGGACTAGGGGAGCTAAGTAACGTGACCAAAGTCATACAGCTTTTGAAGACTAGAGCAATTTCTGCTGTCAAACAATATGGGCTCCAGTGAGTGAGAAAGAAGACACTTGAATTGAAGCTTGAATTAGAATTAGCTGAAAGTTGAAGGGACTAATTTTGAATATAGTATCATCACAAAAATACTTCGGTTAATCATCTTTGAAATAGAAATATTTAATTATTCTTATCCTACTCTAGTCACTAGACAGCCAGCTATGGCTGGGATGAGGGACATAGCCCTTGTCAGGGAGTTGGTTGGTTGGCATCCCAGTCTGGGGAGTGGTTGGTAGTCTCGTTTCCAAGGACAGAGTGAGGTGCTCAGAGGGGAACAGATGGGAATGATGGGAATGATGGGGAAGCCGGAGAGCCTCCATGCTTCTCCTGAGTCTTGTCATTGCCATGTTGGCTTCATTATTTTGTCTGATAGATTTTGAATTCCTAAAGTAGAAGTCACCCACATGCTAAAACATTCCAAATATCAATATAAATGATATTTTACTGTATTGTCTTTGTTTGGAATAATCTCTGTTGTTTGTGAGCTCATAGAAGTATTTATTAAGATTTGACAATACTGCTAGGTAGTAGATGGAAAGGCAAGACTATAAGAATCCTAAGCAGCAGAAGAGGTACAGTAGGTATTATTCACTAGAACGCCTCTCTGACAACTGAGGTCATTTGCCTTATAACAGTAAATGGTCTAATGTTGGATACATTTGGACTGAGTAATACTAATCTAGATTATTCCATCAACTGCCCAAACATCTGCATGTCTTTAATTAAATAGCATTTTCAAAATTTTTAAAGTAGACATTTAATTCTTTTATTGTTTGGATAACAATTCTATCTGTTATCCAAAGGAAGAGACTCAAAATACCATTGGACAAAGTATAGTTCTCATTTTAGATAATCAGACTTTACTCTCCAATTTGTTTTTATGGCTGGAGCAAGTATTAAAATCCATGAACCTTCCAGCCTTTCTTTCATCCTGAGGCAGACATATCCTCCCTCTCTTTATCGGACCAGTCAGAAAAGCTGTTCTACATTCTACATTTAAGTTTTCTTTTATTTCTTTTTTGCACTTGCATTTTTTCCTAATAAATTTCAAATCTTTCCGAAGCTCTATAATGAAAGTCCATTTCATGATTTATTTTATTAAAACAGAAGCTTGGGTCTATTTTGCTGAACTCCACTGCCTCGCTTAACCAGTGGAAACTCTAAGTGAGATATAAATAGTGCTTAAGGAGAAAGGAATTTCCCAACTTGGAATAGAGCCAGAAAATTCTTCACTTTCCTCTCGTTAAACTACAGAAAGAACCAGCGGTTATGTATACCCATGTAGATACGTATGATTTTTACATGCTCTGCAAAAAAAAATTTGGCAGCTCTGTTTACCAATGCTCTCCTTCCCCTTATTAACCAGAGACAAAAATCTGTTAAGAAAGATTGAGAGTCAAGTATTTAAAAAGCATGGAGGCTTATCTGGAATATCTTGAAGTATAGGAAAATTCACGAAATCAATAAAAGAGAGTGAAATTACATGTGTTTGGCGAAGATAATTAGTTCAAAGAAAGGAAATCAGTGCAAATTAGGGGAAATCCAAGATTTGTTTCAAATCAGTGATCAACTGATCTTGGCAACAGATTGGATAAAAGAAAGGGAGAGACAGATAATGCCAGTTTTCTAGACCTGGGGGTGTAAATGATACATGAAACATAAATATGCATGTGGAGTTAAGGGCGGGAAGTCACTGGCATGGCTGGGTGTGGAATTGGTGACAGGAACACGGGTTGGCTTGGCTTGAGCCACACGGGCATTGACGTATTGGTAGCACATCCAAAGGGGTTTCCTGACCCAAAGGGAGTGATGCCCAGAATTCCTTCATGGAAGACCTGACTTTGCCAAACTGGAGTCTTCTATTTGTATTCTCACTCACCTTGACTTTGGTCCGTGGCTGTCAGGAAGACCACCCGCCACTGGTAAAGCCTGAGGCCCACAAACCCACATCCAAACTCAAATTAGTCTGAGCCCATGGTTTCTTCCCAAGTTTGAAAAACCCATGGAAAACCAGTCTCACTTCCAAAGTGTAAATTCATGACACTTATCATTACAGTGATAACATAGCCGTTTCTTCGCAAGAAACTTTCAGGGAGAAGGATTAAAATGTATTGTCGAGTCAATTATTTAAGGGAATGTTCACAACTTTTCTTTTCGATTTTCAGTTTGAGCGGCTGAACTTTGCACTTCAGCGGACATTGGCAAAACATAAAATCAAAGAAAGCAGGTAAATTGAGCTGTTTTATTTGTGTGAACTTATTACCATCTCTGAGGCCACTATTAATAGCCAACACTTGCTGAAAGTATCCACATGTTTTGAATCACTATGCTATGCCAAAAACTGGACTGTTTTAGCTGCTACTAATCCGAAAATAAGTGCATTTTAGCATGTTATGCATCACTAAGCTCCAAGTTTATGTAAATGTTTAGGATTTTCTAGGGGTTGAGGAAAAGGCAGAACTGAGTTTCCAAGCTGGGTTTTTCAGAGCCCATGATTTCAACGTTGTTGCCATATACTGCTGCTTTGAACAAGCTCCCATAGGCCTCTTCTCTCATACTAAGGGTGATTTCTGAAATACTTAACAGGTCAGGCATGGATGCCAGACACTCAGTGCACAGTCCTTGGCTGATGAATACTGCTAAAAGGTTGAAGGAGGGTTCCTGTGCCCCTTCTGTCCCCACTTCTCCTTCCCCACAAATTAGACTTTAGGTGCTGTATCAGGAGGAAATGAAATGGAAGAAGGATGGGGGGTGGGGAATTCGGGGCCTTGGGACAGCAGCTATTAATCCTTAGGGGAATTTTCAGTATTTTTTATAACCGGTATGGTTATTCTGGTGTGCACTGGCTAAATATCAGTTCTGTTTATACTTTATTTCTTGTACTGTGTCTGTGCAATTTTATTTAAGCTAGTTTTCTATAGAGGCTTAATCTATAATAAGCTAGCTTTCTGTAGAGGCTTAATAGATAAGGTGATTTAAAAAAATAATCTGATTTATATAGTTCATTTTTCAACTATATCTTGGCGCAGTCACTGCTGGTGGATAATTTGACTTGGCCTTGTTTTCGATTCCCTGAAATGCCAAGGATTATTCAATCTGCCAATGATAGAATAAATACTTGAGTTCAAATTTACAGAGTTGAACATTGACATTCTGCAAACCAATACCATTGTCAGAGATATTTTATAAATTCATTCATCTCCCTGCTACTCATGAGTGAATAATCTGTTCTGTGGATTATCTGCGCTTAATTTTCCTTGCTGACTAACTGGTCCCAGACTGCAGGCAGCAGGCTGCCAAGAGGAGTCCCAGACGGGTCCAGAGAAGAGAGAGTGAACCCGTGTGTCTGACAGAAGCTTTGTTTACAGGAGTGATACGCAAAGTATTCCAGAGCCCCCGACCTCGATTCTCAGTCAGGCTGATAAGATAGCCACAAGTCATCCTAGCTGTGCTACTGTGTCTGTCTGCCTAAGTCCTTGGCAGCCAGTTCACACAAAATTTATTCTCAGTGCTTTGTGTTCTGAATGTTCCTAAGTTAGAGGCAGACATTCCTTCAGGATGTGTTCCCAGCAGCGCATCTCTTTTAAAGATCTCAAAACTAAAAATAAATACATACATAAATAAAAATGAATATTTTATTTGCAAGTCTTGAAACATCTTTAACCACTTGCCTGAATTTTTATAGAGCAGATTATACTTTTAAATTGTTCTCGTGGTAATTATGCAGTTGTTGAAATAAGATGAGCCGCCCCCCCCCTTTTTTTTAATAAGAGTGCCTGTTGATATGCCAAATGCCTTCTCTCTGCTTTGCCTTTTAAAATTGTTGCATATGCTCTTTGTGCCTGGGTCTCCCACCGCCACCACCATCTTTTTGGCAAGGCAACTGCAGTTTCTGCTGCTCTCATTTTGCCAACTGCTGAACACACCTGGCTCCCTTTTGCAGACTGCTTCTTCTCCTATGTGTCTTGAAAAGCAAAACACCAATATATTAAATAATAAACTGTCCCTCAATGGAGTACTGGAGCTCCCTACACACCACCATCTATTTTTTAAGTAAATGAGTTTTAGTAGAACCATTCTGATAGCTCCCTGGGGTGGTTGCACATAGAGCTTTTGTTTTGTTAATTTCTCTAGGATCTGTTGCTCACATTATCATATGTATGAACTCTTGGCTGGTGTGTGTGTGTGTGTGTGTGTGTGTAGCACACATTCAAGCTTCTACCTCCTTTTTGAAGATAAAGAGAGGGGGCTTATTTTGAATTGCACTATCTGCTGTTTGGACTCACTTTGCTCATATCTCATATCATGGGTGCTGGGAATTGGCAGCATTATAGTTCTCTGAGCAGATTTGCTCTCATTCTCTAGAAAAAAAAAAGAAGTTTCTTAAATGACAAAAAAGGAGCCAATTAAAGGCTGATTAATACAAAACAATATATATCAAGGGGTTTGATGATAAAAGATTAGACTTTGGGTGGTGAGCACACAATAGAGTATACAGATCTTGTATTATAAAGGAGTACTATATATCAAAGTGTTTGGGGGTCTCTAAAGTCAAACTAGATAATGCCAGTTAGTGTTCTTCAACCTGTTAAAATAAGAAAATATTTCCACCTAGTATTTTAAATAATTATAAGCAGTATACCTTTATCTGACAAATAGTGGACTGAGCAATTTTCCTTCTTGAAAATATTCCCTTTTGAAACTTCTCTAAATGTGTCATGTTCTTTGAAATCTATTCAAAAATTTTAGATTCATGCCTGTTTGTAAACTTGGCTTGTCTAATGGCATACTGAACCACAATCAGGACTTGGGTGCCTTTAAATATACTTCGGTAGTTTGGCAAATTTGCTCATGATCAGTCATCACTATCAGAAGTCATCAATAAAAAAAATTAGGCAGACATGAATCAGCAAGTTGTCCAGTTGAAATCAAAATGTGTGTGCTATTATCAACGTCTATGCTACAGAAACCAGTGCAGTAATTGAATAAAGAATAGATTAGTTACTCATTTTTATACAAGATCAAGGATAACACTTAATGTAAAGATGTCTGAGAGTTAAATATACAGGCTTTACTGTATGTTTATAAAGTAAATGTACAGAATCTACTGTATATTCACTTTAGAAAAATATTGTGATTCTTAAAAATGAAATCCATCAATATGTAGCTTTTTCTTCTTGTGGGTCATTTCATACTCCTGGTTCCCTGCCAGTGTAGGCCTCTATAGTATTAGCTTAAGTGAAGTTCAGTTAAAAGGCAAGTACTTCATAAAAAATTATGAAGTACTCCGTATTCAGATATATTTGGGGGTTTTCAGCATTGCTTTGGGTTGTACATGTAACTGCTCCTTTTCTGTAAACTTGATAGTCAAGACTTGCCTCTCTAGAAAAAGTTACTGAAATTATTTGTCATGATTTCTGTCTGTTATTATCTGAACTTTTGAACATTCACATGTCAGTTTATAATTTAAGATATTAAAATATTTTCAGAAAATCTGTGGAAAGAGAAGACTTTGAAAAAATAATTGCAGACGAAGCGCTTGCAGCAGGTAATAGAATTGTTTCATGTTAATTGTCTAGTATATGTAATTAGGAATTAATTATGTTCATAGAACTAGTGTTTTATCTGTAAACTAATGTTTTCTATTAGTAAAAATATATTTGCCTGTAGAACTAACATTTTCTTTTAAAATATTTATTTTTATTAGCTGGTGAATTCCAGTGTGAATTGTTCAATCTATGTATTGTATTAACATAAAGAATAACTCTTTGTCATACTGTATATTTTTGTTTGACCTTAAACATTTCCTCTTCTTTTATTTAAATTTATCTTTATTATTGAAAGTATTATATATATCCCTCTTTTCCTCCCCCATTAACCCCCTCCACCTCCAACTCCCCACCCTCACACCCCCAGGACTCATTTCCTCTTTGTACAATGTTCATTTGCTGAGAACTAGATAAGGCTGTATGGGAAGCTGACTCATATACAAGTATATGCTTTGGTCTTAAAGTTAACTACGTGTTCCTTATTTATGCATAAAAAATCCTACTCCACAAAGTAAAACAAAGAATTTTAAAAAGGTTTGAAACAATCATGGGGAAAGGTGTTAACAGTGTTGTCATATTGATAATTAGTTTAGAAAAACAAGTAGCTGAGTAACTTAGTCCTACTACCCTTTTCAAAGTTTGAGTGCATGGGCCAACAAGTTAAATTTTTCTGAACATACAAGATATTAAGATTTTAATAATAATAATGATGGTGGTGGTGATTATGGCTGACTTATTATAGTGAACCCTTCTTAGAAGCCAGGGACTATTCTAAACGCCATCCCCACGCATCATGACTGTGGCATAAAGAGGGCACCATTGCTCTTCCTGAGTTACAGGTGGAACGGAACGTGGTACACAGTTGAAAGAATAAAGGAAGTTCTGGAAGAAGTAGGAAGTGACTAATATATTCCAAACACATATTTATTAGAGTAACACTAACAAGGATGCTATTATACCCAGAAAAAAAAAGTACTTTATGTCATCTCTAAAGAAAAATGACAACATTTAGTTTCATAGCCAGTGATTTCAAATTAATTCCTGTGTCTGAAGCTTACACTCCTGGAGGCCCTGCAAGGGGGATAGTACCTTTCATCAGGATGGTCGGGTTTTGTTGTTACCAAGGTGGGACAGCTTTTTCCAAAATGGACCTGCTCCTGCAATTCCTATTGCTCTTTTCTAGCTAAGTTTAGGGGGATAAAATGTTGTACATTATATTCAGTTGATCATTCTTTTTTGAAAAATTTTTTTTATTGATTTCAAAGAGGAAGGGAGAGGGAGAGAGAGATAGAAATATCAATCAATGATGGAAGAGAATCATTGACCAGCTGCCTCCTGCACTCCCCCTACTGGGGATCGAGCCTGCAACCTGGGCATGTGCCCTGACCAGGAATCAAACCATGACCACCCTGGTTCATAGGTCAAGGCTCAGCCACTGAAATACGCTGGCCGGGTGATCATTCTTTTTTAAAGAAATGATTTGGGATTTCTAGTCAGCATTACCAGAATTTTAGTAACTCATCTATGTCGATAATTAGAATATAGATGGTTAATTTGGGTTGGCATTCTTACTACCAGATATAAAAGGAATGAAATCATCAAATAAAACAATGTCTACCATAGTTGTAACAGCACAGTTCTCCCACACTGGCCTATTTGACATGGCAGGACATGTGTTATCTGCTTTCAGGAGTTCCAGTGGAGAGCATCAGAGCATCTCTCGGTGAAGAGATTTTTAAAATATGTTATGAGGAAGATGAACACATCCTGGGTGTAGTGGGAGGAACCCTCAAAGATTTCTTAAATAGCTTCAGCACCCTCCTGAAGCAGAGCAGCCACTGCCAAGAAGCAGAGAAGAAAGGCAGGCGGGAGGCTGCCTCCATTCTCTGTCTGGATAAGGACCACGATTTCTTAAACGTTTACTATTTCTTTCCGAAGAAGATCACGTCCCTGATTCTTCCGGGCATCATTAAGGCAGCTGCTCACATCCTGTACGAAACCGAAGTGGAAGTGTCATTAATGCCTTCCTGCTTCCATAACGATGGCAGTGAGTTTGTTAATCAGCCCTATTTGTTGTACTCCGTTCATGTCACAAGCACCAAACCATCCCTGTCCCCGGGCAAACCCCAGTCCTCACTGGTCATTCCTGCTTCTCTCTTCTGTAAGACATTCCCGTTCCATTTCATGTTTGACAAAGACATGACAATTCTGCAATTTGGCAATGGCATCAGGAGGCTGATGAACAGGCGAGACTTTCAAGGAAAGCCTAATTTTGAAGAGTACTTTGATATTCTCACTCCAAAAGTCAACCAAACGTTTAGCGGAATCATGACTATGTTGAATTTGCAATTTGTGGTCCGAGTGAGGAGATGGGACAACTCTGTGAAGAAATCTTCAAGGGTAAGAGAAACATAATAGCATTTTGATTATGAAATCAACTATTTCATATTTAAGGACCAGAAACAAACAAAAAAAAATGGTACAAATGCAAATGCATCACTTCAAATGTTTTCTTAAAATATATTTAAAAACAATTCTAAAATACTTTTAAGGCTGGAATAAATTTAAAATAAGGTCCTTTTTGCATGTATTTCTTCTCTACTTGACCATTACTTCACAAATATTCATTGAATGCAGTATACCTTTTAACATCTTTATGAAATATTTTACAACTGAATTATAAAAATATTTATATAAAATATGCTTGCAATCATCATCAGTTGACTTAATTTGGAATAAGAGGTCTATTTCTATAACAAACAAACAAAACTTTTTTTCTTATAGGAGCCCACTAAGTAGATTTTTTTAGTCAATATTCAATAAATGGAAAAAATCAATACCTTTTGATTAATTGTTAGAGGATGTGGGAGAAATGTTCTGTCTCCTCCTGGTAGAGAACTTTGGTAATTATTTACTCTTAGCTTACAAAGTTTGCTAAGTCATAGTCAATAGTACAGCAAAGCTAATAGAGAGGCTTATGGTGCATATCAATTTTAGTCATGTAAACCCCAGCAGACACACTGTTCCCCCCAAATTAAAACAGGTTTATTGCTTTTTATCATAAAAATTGTATAGCTAAATATTTAAAAATTTGGTAATAATTAAAGATGTCCATTGTAGCAACAATAACAAAAACTCAATGACATTAGTTATTAAGCAGGCTATAATTCAGAGTATGCTTGTACAGGGAAAAACTTTGAGCCTGTAAAAATAAAGAAACATGAGGATTATACATTTTTGTTTAAAACAAAAATAATACTATTTATAACTTCCTTTTTTTAACTAAACAATCTATTTTGGCCATCCTTCCATGTCATTAGATATAGGGCTGTTTCACTTTTCAAAAGCTGTGTTGTATTCATTATAAGGTTGTCCTCCATGTAATCATCTGCTCTGAAAAGGACGTTTGGATTGCTTTTGGCTCTGCCGCAGTGAGCAACACCCATGTACATATTTGTCCACACTCATCCAAGTAAATCTTGTGATCCAGGATGATCACTTGAAGCCTCACCTCCCTGAAGGCTCCCTTGGCGCAATTGTTTCTGCTGGCTGCGCCTATCAAAAGGAAGTACAGTAGTCACATGCCACTTACTGAGAAAGCCTTGCAGGAAGCATTGTTTGCACTGCTTATTGAAAAGTATGATCTATGTGTAAAGTATACTTTTCAAATACCTGCATACATTTTAGAACTCATAGTAAATTGGAACTATACGAAAATATATTGTTCTTGGTCAGCAGGTAGAAAAAAAAATCAAGTTCAATACAGAGGGACGATCACTATATCTACTTCCTCTCCTTTTGCCTCCAAAAATGTTGGAAACTTGAATAAGTCACAGCAATTGGTTCTCCTTTGCTTCACAGGTTATGGACCTCAAAGGCCAAATGATCTACATCATTGAATCCAATGCGATCTTGTTCTTGGGGTCACCCTGCGTGGACAGGTTAGAAGATTTTACAGGACGAGGGCTCTACCTCTCAGACATCCCAATTCACAATGCGCTGAGGGATGTGGTCTTGATCGGAGAACAGGCCAGAGCTCAAGATGGCCTGAAGAAGAGGCTGGGGAAACTGAAGGCCACGCTGGAGCAAGCCCACCACGCCCTGGAGGAGGAGAAGAAGAAGACAGTGGATCTCCTGTGCTCTATATTTCCCTCTGAGGTGGCGCAGCAGCTGTGGCAAGGGCAGGTCGTGCAAGCCAAGAAGTTCAACAACGTCACCATGCTGTTCTCAGACATTGTTGGGTTCACTGCCATCTGCTCCCAGTGCTCGCCGCTGCAGGTCATCACCATGCTCAATGCGCTCTACACCCGGTTTGACCAGCAGTGCGGAGAGCTGGATGTCTACAAGGTAGGGGTGGAGCAGGACGGGACCCATTTTCCAGGCAAAAGTCACTGAGAAAAAGCACTGTAACTAGGATCGGAGTTATAATGCAAACGAAAGGCCATCCTGGGAGCCACATCCTGGGAGTAGGCATTGTGCATTAATCACCTGGGTGTTCGCCAGCCAGAAATAGCTCTGAATTTGCTCAGAAAAAGAGAGGATTCCACGAGAAGACTGCCACATTGTCTTCTTACGGAATAAGCATAGAGTGGGGAATGATAGACGGAGTGGAGGATGGGGTGCAGGACCCATGAGCAAGTGAAGTTTAGAAGTCAATGAACTTGACACTTGACTGTGGGAACTGAGTGGAGTTGCTAAGCATGGTATAATTCAGAGTACCCCTTGTACAGGGAAAGATTATCCTTTGTACCTGTAAAATGAAAGAAACATGAGGATTATACAACTCGTATTTAAATAGATTAATTCAATCCAGAGTTAACATGATACTTTTTATGGCCAGTTAGCAGAAACTCAAATGACCTACTTACGGCTTTATTGTAGAGCAGCCGAGGGCAGAGATACCTAAATAAGAGAGACCTGTTTTCAAATCTTGTCTCTACCTGATGTGTTTCATTTGTGAAAGAGAAAATATTATCTACCCAAAGGGTTTATATGAATAAACCTACATATGTCCTGGAAGCTTTATGAGCGGGATTGTATTAAATATTATGGTAAATAATATCTGTTATTCATCAGGCAGCAGGATTTTTGGGGTGCTCAGCATCATTCTAGGCACTGGAGACGCACTGTGATTGTCCCCAACATGTAATCAGCTACTTTTAATATGTAACTATTGTCAAAAGGAAGAACTAATGAAGAGATTTCATGTTCTGCCTTTAGAAGTAAAATTATATATATTTTTTTACTGATATAACGTATTTTGCCTTGTTTTAGACATTATCATTAAGCACAAAGCATGCCTCTCATTTGTGTGGCTTGAAATCAACTCTTAATTTGCCACATAACAATCTGGCATATCAGAACTTAACCCAATACAAAATGATTAAGGAGAAACAAAAATTATTTATGGGAATATACAAGACCCTGCTTTTTTTTTTTCAATTTAGATGCTAGAAGTAAAAACAAAATGAGAAAATAAAAGAAACTTCCTTTAAAAACTCTAACAGGAAATTCCAGACAGAGCTATGATCCCTTGGGACAAAAATAGGCTCATGGATAATTACAGATAAAATAATTGGCTTTGGTTAGGTTAAGCTTGATGGCCTCTTGTGGAATCCGCTGTATTTTTTTGTAGACAGTTTCTATCTTGAGAATGTCTCCTCTCTCAGCAGAGTTGTGAGAAGGAAGGCTTGCTGTTCTTGGCAAACTACTGAGATTGATGTCAGAAGAAGTAGCCCTCTTCTCCAACTTGTTGAAACTTGACAAAATTGGTTATTTTGTCAAGTATTTAGAATCTAGCCTCCTTACTACCAGGATGGTAGCCATAGAGTTCCCTGACTCACCCAACTGCAGCCTAAGCTCATCAATCACCTTCTTTCCTGTCCTTATGCCCACCTTCTCTCCACTCTGATTTCTCATGAAAATACTTAGAGGTAGCTGTAAATAAGTAAGGAGGGTCTTAACGACTAAATAAATTTCAGATACACAGAATGTATAATCATAGGCCGACCTATGAGTGTCATGGCTTCCAAGGAATAGTCAAGTTTATTTATTCAGGAACCTGATCATGCCAGGACTTTATTTAACTTCATTTTCCAGCATTCCATCTTTTAGTCATCTTTTTGTGTTAGTATTTATTTATCTATTGTTTTAGCAAATATCTACTGCTTATCCTGCATTTTCCATCATGGGTGGGCAAAATCCCTGTGAGAAGAGTTGACGTGTGTGTGTGTGTGTGTGTGTGTGTGTGTGTGTGTGTAGGTAGGGGAAGGGTACTGGAAAATACTAGGTTTCCATATGACATACTAAGCCCCATTTCACACAAGTCTGGACCAGGTACTATAATAGCATAGAAAATGGGCACCTAACTCCAAGTAGGGGTGAGGGTTCTACTTCTAATTAGTAACACTTTTTTGAGCACTTGTGATATGCTAGCCTTTCAGTTAAGCACTTCATATATATTCACTGCTGAGCCAAAGCTTATGGGAGGCATTGCTGCCTGGTTCATTCATTGGTGAACATACTGGGCACTGATAGGAATTAGTAAAATAGACAAACTCAGAGAGCTTACATTCTACTGGGGCTGGGGGAAGACAATAAACAGATGAGTAAATATATAGTATTTCATGTCGTGTAATATTCTGGAAGAAAAATAAAGCAGGTTAAGGGTGAGAAGTGATTGCTGTTTCATAGAAGGTAGTCTTTCTTATAAGGAGATGTTTTGGAGGGGCTGAAGGAAATGAGGGACAAACCAAATGGTTATCTGCAGAAAGGTTATTCCAGGCAAAGGGATAGCACGTAGGAGCCTGTTTGGTATATTTGAAAGAAAACAGGAGAAGCCAGTGGTATTGAGACAAAGTGAGCAACAGGGAGTGTCAGGAATTAGCAGAAAAGCTGGTCAAGAAGAAACTCGGGCACCTTATAAGGGTTTCAGCATTTATTCTGAGTAAACGTTTACATCTCTTTTTCGTTTTCTCACCTCCATTTCTCCACACTGGAAGCTGTGGATAAGAAGAATGAGATGATCTGATAAGCTACAATAAATATTTAGAAAAGAAAAATGTGATTATTACAATTTGGTGGATTTAAATTAATTGTTAGCTTTTTGTAGCCAGTATCATAGACAAAGAACACTGAGATTATTACTATATGATCCTTAATTTCTGCTGTAAATTATATGCTTTAATTCTTCCTAAGCTTTTTATTTGTAATGTGGAAAATCTGTTATGTGCAGGTGGAGACCATTGGCGATGCGTATTGTGTGGCTGGGGGATTACACAAAGAAAGTGATACCCATGCTGTTCAGATAGCACTGATGGCCCTCAAGATGATGGAGCTCTCTGATGAAGTCATGTCTCCCCATGGAGAACCTATCAAGGTAAACTCGATCATATATTGTCCAAGAAATGAGAATAAATGCTTAGTTAGTTATCAAAACAATGGTGTGCCCGGCCTGTGTGGCTCAGTGTTTGAGTGTCAACCTATGAACCAGGAGGTCATGGTTCAATTCCCGTTTAGGACACATGCCCAGGTTGCAGGGAGCATGCAGTAGGGGGCATGCAGGAGGCAGCTGATCAATGATTCGCATCATTGATGTTTCCATCTCTCTCTCCCTCTCCCTTCCTCTCTTTAGAGAATGGTGTATCAGTTGGGGTTTAGTTCCAGAGAGCAAATTCTCACTTGTTGAAGCAGGAGAACATTTACCACCTGGTATAGAATGGTTCCCAGAATCATTGGGAGGCCCAAAGAAGCCATCTATAAGTTAAGCTTTTTAAAAATGGGTCCTAAAGCCACATTTCAGCGCCACTGCTTTTTCCTTTGTTGGGAAGCTGGCTCCAGAACGATACCACCGTAGCCAGTCAGGAAATGGTTGTGTTCTGAAAGCTGCTGCCTCTGCTGCTGGCTACAGAACACAACTGCACGCACCTCCTCTAATCCGGATCAGCAACGTGAATTCCTGCATCCTGACCCTCACAAAATGAGTGCCTGGGAACTGGGCTCTCCACTAAGCACCCACAGAAAACCCAAAGCTTCCCCACTTGTAAGCATCCCAAGTGCAGTCCCAGCAGAAATCCTGGCTCCCAAATCTCATGCACGTGGCTCTGAGTCACTGGACCTAAACGCATCTAGGTGCTGCCAGGGAGTTTGGAATATGTAGTTTTTAGTGTTCCAGTAACTGCAGGGGAGGACATCACAGTAGAATGAATGTTGACTGTTAATCCACCAGTATTTTCCAGAACACATAAAATTCTAAAATGTCTAGATCAGTCAGACTCCAGAATAATATTTCATTGCACATGAAAAAATAAAATTAACACACAGGGGTGGGCAAACTTTTTGACTCAAGGGCCACAATGGGTTCTTAAACTGGACCGGAGGGCCGGAACAAAAGCATGGATGGAGTGTTTGTGTGAACTAATATAAATTCAAAGTAAACATCATTACATAAAAGGGTACAGTCTTTTTTTTTTTTTTTTTTAGTTTTATTCATTTCAAATGGGCCGGATCCGGCCCGCGGGCCGTAGTTTGCCCACGGCTGCACTAGGCATTGGTTCAATAGACAGAACATGAGCAGGTTATGTTTATTTGTAGCACTGTAGTCAATCTGGCACTCAATTTTTATCAAATAGGACTCAGTTGATGATTCAGAAGTGGGCCTTTGAAGGGAATAGAATCCTACCTGGTATGCTCTAGATATAGGGAGAAGAAAGAAAAAAAACAAAACTATACTATTTAGAAGTTTAGTCTTGGCTCTCTTCACAATTAGTAGACACCATACATGCAAGTCATCATGTTGGTTTTATAAGTCGACTGTCTTTCCAGTTACATGTTACTGTGTGACACATTTTGTATATTTAGTTCTGTAAAAATACAAACCTTTTATTACACATGGATTCTGTGCATCGGAAATTAGATGATGCATAACAGGGATACCACACCTCAGCTCACAGTCTCTGGTTCCTCAGCTGGGAACACTCAAATGGTTGAGGGAAGTTGGAAGAGCTGGATGTACCACTTGGAGCTGGAGAATCCATTCTGACGTGGCTGCTTCACTTACATGTCTGGTTCCTTGCTCACTGGCGATGGCTGAAAGGTTGGGCTCAGCTAGGACTGTCAGTCCATGTGCTTACGTGGTGTAGACTCAGAGTAGTTATACTTCTTACATGGTGGCTTATGTCCCAGGGAACTTGATTGGTGGCAGCATGGCCTTTTATGACCTAACGTTAAGAGACACACAGTGATGCTTCCATTCTATTCTCTTGGTCAAAGCAATCATAAGCCTGCCCCGAGGTGAGGAGATAGAGCTCATGTCTTAATGGGGAGAGTATGAGATAAATTGTGGCAGTTTTAAAAGCATCACAGCAGACCTAGCCGGTTTGGCTCTGTGGTTAGAGAGTCAGCCCGCAGACTGAAGGGACTGAAGGGAGTGAAGGGTCTCGGGTTCCATTCTTGTCAAGGGCACATGCCTCGGTTGCAGGCTAATCCCTGGCCCAGTTGGAGTGCGTGCAAGAGGCAATCAATCAATGTGTCTCCCTCACATCTATGTCTCTCTCTCCCTCTCTCTCTCTCTCCTTCCCTTCCACTCTCTCTAAAAATAAATGGGAAAAATATCCTTGGGTAAGGATTAATAAATAAATAAAAATAATAAAATCATCACAGCATCTTACTTTTAATTCTCTCTCTCTCTCTCTCTCTCTCTCTCTCTCGTTTTGATGAGGAAAATCATAGCATCAAAGTAAATGCTTAAAATATCCACATTAACAAAAAAATCAGTGGTTTCCACATAAATGTATTTTATAATTAAAATGTGTATGTTTGAGCCAGGGGGATTTTTGTTATTTGTAGAAATGTATTTTTAGAGTTTTGCAACTGGAGGCATTATTTATAGCTAGTTTCAAAGACAATTACCTGAGTAATAAAAGTCTAGCTTTAATGACCTGTAAAGTGAGATGTTAAGCATACCTTTTATTTGTTCTAACCTACAGTCCTCGGGACTATCTGATGGCTTTAGGAGCTGCCTATGAAACATCACAGAGGCAGAAGGGAAGAGCATTTTGAGTAGAGAGAGAAACCTTATTGTGTGTTGGGGGCAGGGGAGCATATTGTGACAAACATCGTCTCATTTAATATTTACAACAACATTATGAAGAGGAAACTACAATTCACTAGTGGACAAAAGTGGTCAAGTCTCCCATGCATCTGTATTTGGAGTTATGTCTCTTTGGCTTCAAAGCCCAGGCTTACCCTGGCTGATAGCTCGGTTGCGGTTCTATCCCCCATCAGGGCATGTACAAGAATCAACCAACGAATATATAAAAAAATAAGTGGAACAACAAATGGATGTTTTTCTCTCTCTGCCCATCCCCCCCCCCCCCCCCCCCCGCCTCTAATCTGGGTCTCAGCAACCACTTCCTGCTTCCTGTGTTATTTTTTACTTGAATATTGCAATTCCCTTTCTCTAGTTGTTAGTCATTTGAATAGTGGAGTAATGTTTGGCATAAAGTTATTTTCCTCAGAATGTACACTTTATATAGTGAGAGCTAGCAACTTTTGCTCCTCTCTGACCGTGTTTTGGGAAACAACAACTGTAATCCAGAAGTTATGTCTATCTCACTTGATAGAGCAGTTTCACATAAACAACCCATAGACACTGTCTTGTCACGGTGGTGACAGCGATAGGTATGCGTGGAAATCTGTCTCAGATACTGAAGAGAGGGGAAATAAGAGTGCTTTGTGCAACAAACCTAAGGGCATAAGTAGAGAAGAGTTAAGAGGTGTAGCTGATTCTTCTCCGATAATTTTTAATCAACTGTGAGTAGAGGGAAGTTGGCTGAGGTTTTTGAGGAAGGAGGGAGTGGTGCGGTTAAGAGCGATTGTTACAATAATTTAGACAGGGCATTCAAACAGCACTGACAAGTGGGAAGAATTTTAACCCATGACCAGGAACAATGTGGTACGTTTTTTGCTTTTAGATGCGAATTGGACTGCATTCTGGGTCGGTTTTTGCTGGAGTTGTTGGAGTTAAGATGCCCCGTTACTGTCTTTTTGGAAACAATGTCACCTTGGCTAACAAATTTGAGTCCTGCAGTGTACCACGGAAAATCAACGTCAGCCCAACAACCTACAGGTACTGATTGCACTGACCACCTAAACTCTATTCTTTTACTATTTCATTGGGGGAAATGGTAACTGGTTCAAGAGGGAGTAAAGTACAACTTCTACCCCATGTGGACATCTGCCCTGAGCCTGTGGCTGCGATTCTTGAATCTTTCTGCTATCAAGATTTCATTTAAATGGTTTGATTTTTCCAATCTATTTTTCTTACAAATTTTGAACTTTTTTGAAGATGATCTAATGAACATGTCTTACTCATGAGAAATGAGTGTCATTTCTCATTTGATGTTTTGTGTTTATCTGTAAGTTTATTTCAAAAGCCTGGGATTTGTATTCAGAAGACGTGTCTTACAAGTTCCAAATGCCAGATGTGAGATCTTGAGCAAAGCACTTAACAAATTCAAGTGATATAAAGGTTATGATTGTAATTACCTTACTAATAGGAGATGTTGGGCTAATATGGACATAAAAATGTTTTTTTTAATTTACCAATCACCTATAGTTTTATACATTCTTATTTTTTAAACCCTTATAGTTATATACATTTTTATAGTTAATTTTTACATATTTCAAACATACAGAAAAAAAATTTAAAGAAAATATGATACCGTGTAACCGATACTAATATTTAACAAATGTCAACATTTTGCCATATTTGTTTCAGATCCCTGTTTTATGAGAGAAACAAAATATGACAGGCTCCTGGCCCCCATTTTCTCTCTGATATGCTGGACTTTAAATCCCTTAAGGTTTGTAGGAACATCTGAGAGCGTGTACTTCCTGAAGACAGGCAGGCTCCTAAAGAGAGAGGCGGGGAGGCACCAAATAGAGAAATAGCTTCTGTTGCTCTGTTTACCAGGAAGGAAAATGAGCAGAAAGAGGCCAGAGGTGTAACTCTCTTCATTTAAGTTCCTCCAGGTTAAAAAAAAATATAAAGTCAGAGAAAAGTAAATTTCCACTGGCCCTGTTCATATTCTTTTACAACTTGCCTTGAACCTACTCAACATATTTGGAGATTTTTTCTTTCTTGATGAAATGTAAATCAAGATCTTATAAATCTAGTTCATTTATTAAAACTATTTCTAATGCAGGGGTGTACTGGTAAGCCAGCTTTGGGAAGTAAAGTGGAGAATCCCTGATTTCTAGCATTTACCAATTTCTATGGTGTAAATACTCCTACCATGGCAGGTTTTAGGCGACTGATAGTTTGCAAAATTCTTGAATGTTAAAAGTTCACTCTCATGAGCCAGGACAAGCCAAATCAAGTAAGTTACTATGTCACTATATGTGCAGGTGATATAATATGTATTCTAGAGTATGAATAAGCAAGAATCTATCTTCTCCCCAAGGTTAATTAGAGTATATCAGGTTTTCATTATTATAAAAGTGACTTGATATTCTTACACATATATCTCTAGATATTATACCTATACATGGTATTCCCAGATCATAGGCTGTACTGTTTCAAATTTACTAAAAATCAATTAGCTGCCCAAATTGCTTCTACCAATTTGTATTCCACCAACAATGTATGAAGATTTGTTTCTCTTCTCCAAAGCTTGATATTATCAGACTAATTAATTGTTACCAATATGATGAGTGTTAGGCGATATCTAATTGATGTTTAATCAGTCTTTTGTAATTGAGTTATTTAATTTTCACAACTATCCCCATTTTCCAAAGTTAGTAAACTGACAACTTTGTTGCTATTCAACAACAGAGTTTGAAGCTTATACTTTGGGATTCTGTAACTTTTTATTATATATCACCAAATATTATGCTTTATAAATAATAGGCCAAAAACATTTATGAATTCATGACTAAAACATCAGTAGAAGGCCATGGTATAGTTGGGCAGGTGTGATGAGTAATCTAATCTTCTGTAAGAGTTGGTTTAGATCCCAGAATTATTCAACATTTTTTATCCATGGCCTAAATAATAGATTAGAGAGATGCTTATTAAGTTTGCATTTGACAGAAAGCTAGGGAAGCAAATAGAAAGATGAGTAACTTAACCAGTGGGATCAGAATTAAAATGAGTTTAGCATAATGAAGAAGTAGTAGCAAATAAAAAAAAAATTGGGTATCAGTATGTACAATTAAATCTCATTTTAGTTCTATTAACCTTGGATTTGTAAAAATTCTATTGAGAGATCAAAAGCTCTTCTTACAGTACTTTATACATATGCATAAAGCTTATGTAGAACTTTTCCTTTATAACTTCTTGCCCATGATTACTTCTCAGTAATATTTACAAAATGAATGAATTGATAAATGGCAATGTTTTAACTCTTTCAACTTAGGAAGACTTATTCTATAACATTATATTTATGGGGTGTTGTTTTTTTGTTATTGTTAGACCTTTGGATTATTTGGGGGTTTCCCCCAATTACTGTGAATTATACTGTTATTCAGATTATAGATTATATCTTTGCAAAATATTTTAAAATTAATTTTTTGAATATGAGTGAAATGCATTATTTGGGTAGAATTTTCTTGTGGTTGTGAATTGTTTTTCCATTGTACGTCTTCTGTGAAGATGTTTGTTAACATCATTAGGAGCTTTCTGTCAATCACAGTGAACATGGTTTATTAATATTTCGAGGAATATTCATTTATTTATGTTGTCTTTTCTTGAGAAGAGGGTAATACTTTTATTTTACTCTTTCAGATTACTCAAGGACTGTCCAGGTTTTGTCTTTACCCCTCGATCAAGGGAGGAACTTCCACCAAACTTCCCCAGTGAAATTCCGGGAATCTGTCATTTTCTGGAAGCTTATCAACAAGCAACAAATTCAAAACCATGGTTCCAAAAGAAAAATGTTGAAGATGGCAATGCCAATTTTTTAGGCAAAGCATCAGGAATAGATTAGCAAAATATGTCCCTGATTATTAGTCTTTGGGGTTTGATTCCTTTGAGAATGTGTGGAATCTCTGAGAGCACTTTAGGATGCAGATGGATAAAAGCAGTATTAAAATTTCAGGAGCTCACGATCTACTTATTCTTCCACTTAACATGACAAACATGTATTCACTTCAATACTTCAGCTCTTCAGTGAAAATAAAAAAAAGAAACCTTGAAAAGTGACCTCTGGGGGAGATTTCTGTTATATATCACTTATTATCTGTACTCAAAATTTAGCACATTGTACATATATCAGGTAATTGTAGCAACCTATACAATGTGATGGAGTCACTTGCAATCTTGTGTCCTGGTGGAATGCTATGGTTATTAGAGTGTGTTTGTGATAGCATTGCCTTACAAAAGCTTTTGAACAGAAATTATAGTCTTCAATACCATAAGCTCTTGGAACTTTTCAACTCTGAATTTTATTACATTTTCTCATTTAATTTTTAGTTTATATAACAAAGTAGATTGAGGTTTTTCTCTGTTGCACTTTTCTTTTTTTATTTTTAAGGAAATAAGCAATTCTGGGTTAGATGCAATATGAATATAAAATAGGTCTTCTGTAAATATCAAAGATTATTTTATAAAAATATTCTCCACCACATAATGTGTCATTAACAATAAATGTTTCCTTTTGTTTGACATTTTTTATTCCATATATGGTAAAGGCTGTTTTAATTCATATTAGCATTTTCATTCTTATCCATTCATTTCTATTTTACAGTATTCAGTATAAAAGAGGCTGATAGCCTATATTAAAATGCAATATCATTCTGATTTAATTTAACCAGAAGCAACATGGGAGTATAGTAAGCATTTAGGGAACAAACTATAAAATACAGAAAAAAGATATTCACAACATGCATACATTCACCCACCCCACTCACAACACACAGAGGAATGTGGCTCTATTTCAGCAGACATGCTCTATTGCCATGCTGAGCCATGTAAAGTTCCAATAAGAAAATTTAAGTTCACAAGTGGGAAATAAGACTTGTTCTTTTTCTGACTGTATTTTTAAATACTTGTGTTGAATAATTTAGTGTGTGTATATTTCCTAAGAATCATGAGGGTTTTTTTTGTTTTGTTTTATTTTGTTTTTGGTCTCATTAAGTACACATCTGTGAATATTTTATTCTAGTGGAAATATCTCAATGATATTCTTTAAATAGAATGTTAGTGTTGATGAAGAAAATTATGCTGTGATTTTATTATGGAAAATTTTAAACATTTTTTTCTGGAGCTTGAACTTTAATTTTTAATGATGTTAGTCTAAGATCTCTGGTGAACTGAACCTAAATAGGGCTTTGATTTTAAAAGAGCTCAACTTCAAAGCAAGAGAAAAATGATCATTATAATTTTTAAATCACTACTAGCATAGCCATAGATACACTGAACTCTTATTTGGGGTTCTAAAAAATAATTCAATTTAAAAATTATTTAATTATCTTCACTAGTTCCCAGTCTACCCCATAGTAACCTCAGGAATGAAAAGTAATTACTGATTGGCCTTTAGTATCCCATGTGTACCACTATAGATATTACAATGATTATTATTTACTGATTCCCCAATATTTTAAAGGACTAAATGTGTCTCATTAAATACCAATCTTATTGTTATAGGTGTTGGGAAAATATAGTTACAATCTTACAATTATATGAAGTTAATAAAAATACATAAAAGGAAAATAAAGACAAATACATTTTTCCATCTGTAATGCAATCCTTAGTATAGGGAAAATAATAGGAATTAAAGGAAATTTAAAGGCATACAATAAAATGTCACCTTTATAAAAATATTTAAGTAGACCCTAATTTGTTAGTTTGTTTTCTTAAGTTTTTAAGCTAATTAGAATTCAAAAATATTTTTTCTGTGTGTGTTTGTAATGTGTGTGAGTTCACCCCAAAACCCATAGAGGAAAATATAATCTCAGTAAAAGCTATCTGAGAATTCCTTGTACTATTCCTACAACCTTTCTATAAGTTTGATATTTCATCCAAAAAAAGTCAGCAAACATGTATTTTCCCAGACAAATGAAATAATCTGTGATAGGTTCCCCAGGCCAGCCTATAAAGGCTCATTAATTATGGAATACTTTGTGGACCTTAAGCAACATGAACATACAACATTTCCATGATAGAATGCATTCAAAGTCCATAACGGGGTGCTAAAAACTTGAAGGAATTTCCTTTCCCTTTCTATTCAATTTGGAGGATAGAAGTTATGGATACATTTCCAGATCCAGACCACTGATGGTAGCCAGGAGCAGAGAATCTGGAAGGTATGTTCTCAAGGAAACAGAGACCAAAATAGGAGCTCTGTTTTAGGACTGGAATTGAGGATGGAGAAAAGAATGGACAGAGAGGGCCTATGACAGGGTGGGGGGCTAAGAGTTCGGAATCTTTTTTAAAAAAAATATATATTTTATTGATTTTTTACAGAGAGGAAGGGAGAGGGATAGAGAGTTAGAAACATCAATGAGAGAGAAACATCGATCAGCTGCCTCCTGCACGCCCTCTACTGGGGATGTGCCCGCAACCAAGGTACATGCCTTTGACCGGAATGGAACCTGGGACCTTTCAGTCCGCAGGCCGACGCTCTATCCACTGAGCCAAACCGGTTAGGGCAAGAGTTCTGAATCTTGTTGCCAGAATAACTATCCTAAAAATTAATGTGGGGTCTAGTCCCCATTGGTTTAGCTAAGTAGGTAGAGCATTGGCCCTGGCTGAGGGGGGTGCAGGAAGCAGACAATTGATGTGTCTCTCTCACATCAATGTTTCTCTCCGTCTCTCCCACTTTCTTCTATTCTCTCTAAAAATCAATGGAAAAATATCCTCAGGTGAAGACTTTAAATAATAATAATAATAATAATAATAATAATAATAATATGGGGTCCCAAGACTGCTTTTCAATCAGATGGTTTTTCCTGAGAATTCCACAAGCTGTTTCATTTGTCCAGATTTTTTTTATTTTCACTCACAGCTTCTTGCCCAATTATTAAATGTCCAGTACACAAAATAAATTTGCCTTTATACCTATTTCTTAAGCAAGCATAGAGTTCTGTGGTTGTTTTCTAAAGATGTCTGCATCAAGAAGCAAAAAGAAATAGAGTTTAAAAGTGTCTTCCCACTTTTCTTCATCTTTTTATTTCTATCTAGATTTTGTAAGAAAAAGCAAAGTTTGAACTTAATATGAATAGGTTCACTTACTCATTTTCATTTATTTAATCATCAGTTCTTGAATAACTACCATGTGCCAGGAATAATGCTGTTTTTTGGAATTCAAAGATAAGACATGACCCATTCTATCAAAAAACAAAATTAAAAATGAACATAAGATAAATAATTTCTGTGGGAGCACTTAGTGCTTGGAGAAGTGTCTTGGTCTTAGAGGAGTTCATCCAGCAGAGGGAGAAGGACTTGACCAAGCAAGTAAACCAGCACACACGAAGAAATGGAGTCTTGGGGGTGCATAGCCTGTCCTAGGTGGCAAGTTGCCCGGGATGAGGTGGAGGGGAAGAGAATAAGGACAGAAAGACCACTTAGCTACAGATCATGAAGAGGGCTCTTTTTTCATGATAAGATGTGTGATTTCGATGATGGTGACGGTATTCATCATCATTATTCATTTCCATAAAACGTTTTGTTCAAAACAAATCTTACAAATGGAAAAAAAAAAGTGCAAAACAGAAAAAAGAAGCAGACCATTAGCTTCCACTTCCTTCCCCAACACTTTTTAAACCAGTAGGCAAAAGAGACACCAAAGGCTAAAGGAAGAAATGGTCTGATCATGTGTGTGTGTTTGAAAGGCAGCGTCAGAAACAGCATGGGTAAGGGTTGATGTTTATTTGCATAGATGACCAAGTGAACATTCTTCTGTATCTCAGAAGAAAATGGTTTGTGCTATATCCTGGGTATTTTACCCAAAGTATGAACATAAAGCTGGGTGTCTGGCATAGGAATTTCATTATTACTTCCAAGACCACTAGTCCTTCACATCCTTTGGTAGGAAGGAAGGAAAAGTTGCTTCAGCATTTTACTAACCTTTCCTTCAAATTCTTCTCTGTGATATTACCAGTCATTCAAAGCAGACCCTTCCAGCCTTGTCCTGTGGTTAGGTTAGCAGCTGTCCTAGGATGGAGTGCAGTGTTCTATGGAGGGCCTAGCCAGTGAAAGAGACTACCTATTTCATATAGTTCTGGGGATGGACTTGGCCCCCTGACATTTCTCAATCTGGAAAGTGCTCAAATGGAGCTTTACATAGAAAGCCTGAAGGAAGCTAGGGCTATCTAATGGTTTGAAAGCCACATGCAAATCCCTGTTAAAGCAACAGTTAATCTCAAAGAGAATGCATTAATCAATTGTTGTAGTAGTTTAAAGTGTATGGATTTTACCTGGAGAAATAAGTATTAATCAGTGAAACAGGATCTCTCTTTTTTAAAAAAAATATATTTTATTGATTTTTTTTTTTACAGAGTGGAAGGGAGAGGGATAGAGAGTTAGAAACATCAATGAGAGAGAAACATCTATCAGCTGCCTCCTGCACACCCCCTACTGGGGATGTGCCCGCAACCAGGGTACATACCCTTGACCAGAATTGAACCTGGGACCCTTCAGTCCACAGGCCGACGCTCTATCCACTGAGCCAAAACGGTTAGGGCTGAAATGAAATCTTTTTGATACATATTGTTGGGGTGGCTTGCTAGGTCAGTACCCTTCACTGAACAATAAAACATAAAGAATTTGCTTTGCCTGATTGTGCACTTTGGTGCTGTGTCACTCTTAAATGGCTGTTCTTGCAAAGTTAAATGAAAGCAGATTTGAAGGGTAGAAGGATGGAGGGGATATGAGGAGACAGGTGGGCAGCCAGTCACTAGAGGAGGCTACGCCAGAGGTGTTGCAATTCCTGTAAATAAAGATTAATCTCACGCAAAACAAAAACTCAGTGCTGCAGAGATGATAGAAAAATGCAATTCCCTTGTCTAATCACAGGTTAAAAGCAGGGACAGCTTGCTTTATGAAGCAGAGAACACACAAATGTAATTTTAAACCGAGGTATACAGTGTTGTAATGCATGCCCTTTGTTGCGTTTCTTCACAAATCATGAGAAATCTTGGTATCTCGTAGTGAGAAGTGGAAGAATCCTGCTGAGAAGCCAGGAGTTTGGGAAGTATTCAAGTCTGTTGTAGTCTTTGTTGTCTTGAATTTTCTTCTCTGCAAGTTTTTGCTTTCAGATGTTCTGTACAGTGTGAGTCCCTTTTAAAGACTTCTTTTATTATGTTGATGATGTGCACTCCTTTCATATTCTTACTTTCAGCCACTTCAAACATTTTACATTTTATTGCCATCACTATTTCTCTTTAAGTAGCTTTCCTCTTAACCTATCACACCTGTGTCTGTTTTGACACGCTCACACAATCCACACACTTTTTCATCCAAAATTATTCCATTACTTTATTCTGTATGCCCTCTTTTCCCCATATTCAGTGCATGCAAAAAAAGGAAAAGCTTCATAAATACATAGATTTCATTTTTTTTTAAATAGCACAAAGTGAAAAAAGTGATATTCTAAAATCCAGACTTCTTTTAGCATCAGTGTATTTTTTTTTTTTTTTGCATTATAACATACTTAGTTTCAGGAAAATGTTAATATTTTAGACTTAAACATTGGGATAGAAACCAGAACAAAATATTAAATGGCAGCTCTAAGACTTAATATCAGACATTTCTGGTACAAAATTTTAGATAAGTTTGAGCTGCCTTTCAATAATTTTAGTGTTTAATGTCACAATATTAAATTGCCAGTAAATCTTACCATTTGTGGAGAAAGCTGCTTGTCAGAAAAGGACTTTGCACAATGCCCAAATCTTTAATTATCTGCCAAGATGTTCATTTAGTCTGAAATGTTGCTGAACCCATCTGTGTTGATCGAAGAACTATGAATTGGCTTCACAGAAAACTAAAACAAAATGAAGAGAAACAAAAAATGCTATTATGGAGGTTGGACAAACCCAAATATTCTACAGTAGCAAACTGAAGCCTTTTGGAAAATTGTAATGACAATGGTCATGGAATTCTGAGATGCTCACAATGACTCAGGACTGTGGAGCCTGCAGGCACTATTCCCTCACTATTCCTTCTTCCCCAAATAACTTGTATCTTGCAAAATTGAAGCGAATAAAAATATATCAGTATTTGAGAATTTACTGCCCCTTCACTTCTTGCCCCTTGTAAATTAAAGACACACTGTAAAATCTCATTACAGAAATGATAGTCACCAATCTAAAGTGGTGTTCTCCAGCTTTTTGGATTCCTGCACACTATGAGTAAACTATTTTAGTACACCGACAATATATTATAAATATCAAAAGTAAGTATTTATAATATAAATATTAGTAATGCTTATGATAAATAGACTTAATACACTGCTTTCAAGCCTATGTACTGTGATATCGTAGTAAAGCTTATTTTACTTATTTATGAACATGAAGGTAAATAGAAATTTTAGTATTTTCTTCTCTTACCCTACTATAGCATCTTTATATTTTACTTTGGAAACTGCTTCATTTGCCAGTGGGTTTCACTTTCATTGAGTCATATCACTTTGAGAACTGGATAAAACATAAAAGATATAGACCATCACCCTGTCCAAAATGTGCAGATGAACTTCTAACTCAAGACTTACATATACTTGAGAGGTTTGGGAACTTCCTTAAGTTTACTCCTAGGTCATCCCACTGAGACAGCATAGACTCTCAAACTAAGAACATGTTCTTTAGAGGGGGAAAGAGTAAATAATGTTCAAAATAAGAAGAGAATGAATAACTGAGAAAAATCTGTGCTTTTGGTTTAGAAGAGACCATTATTGATTTTTGAGAAATAAAGGAACTATGTGGTGGGTTTTGTTTGTTTGTTTGTTTGTTTGTTTGTTTGTTTCTGAAATGATTCTTGGGTATTCACATATAGTCAAGTAAAGTTTGTTTTCAGCAAATAGTTAACATCTTTCTCAACATTTTTTTCTCTAGCTTTTGGTAAATGTGTATTGGTATTGGTGCCCTTGTTTTCTTCTACTTCTTCTAATTTTGGTAATTTATTTTTTCTCTTTGTGAAAGAGGATAGTTATTGGACCTTGCATTGAAAACCTTCTTGATACTAACAACACTCCTTTTATTATAACTTTCATAGCTGCTTTAAATAACATGTTTAGTTTGAGTTCTGCTTCTGGCAGAGTTGCAAAGTCTATCAAAAAGTTATCCTGTGTCTCAGAAGCTTGTTAGATATTGCTGCCACATAAATATTATAATAAAAGTGCTAAAGTAAGTTTTATTTAGAAGAAAAATAATCCACTGAATAAAATAAAAACTATCCTTCCAAAACATACAAATACATTCTTTCTGGTCTAAGTCTTGCTGCTACAAAGAGAGGAACCCTCCAACATAACGCAACATAATGGCATGGAAACCCAGGACCAACAACCACCATCATTTCAGGC